AGCCGTCTCTTCTACTCTAATAGCTTCATGTCTCGCACCTCTCGCCTGTGGAACTCCCTTCCCTTCTCCTGTTTCCCTGTGAGCTATAATCTCCAGCTATTCAAGTGTAATGTCAATCGACATCTCCAGTTGCCTTGATCTATCCACTACCCTCATCCTTTCTTCTATCACTCCTATCTGATCTTGCTCTAAACTTTCTGTAACCCCTTGCGTCCTAGTGGCTTCCCGTCTTGCTTGGGGTGAAATGCTTAAAAAAAAAAAAATGTGTTGTTTTCCTCTGTCCCTCTTGCCTTCAATCTGTCCTGTAAGTATCAGGTTTTCTAAGCCCTCTTTCCTCATTATGCCCCCCCAAGAAATTCCAGCTGTCTTTTACTAATGGTAAATATAAATTTTCTATTTGTTTTCTATAAAACTTCGTTGTTGATCACATGTCCGGTCCATGGTATCCTCAGCATCCTGCTGCAGAATCACATTTCTGGTCTAGCAGGATTTATTATCGGCGATCACAGTGTTAACACCATAATGACACAGATGACACAGTGTTGATAGCAGACACAGAAGGAAAACTACAGAAACTCTCAGAGAAGTTAGCAAAAGAAAGGGAGAAGAAAGGACTAACCATCAATTGTAAGAAGACATGATAATTGCTTGTGAGCCAGAGGAACAGCTCAACGTGCTAGCTTCGAATCGGGTGCTAGCTTCGAATCGGGGTGTCAAAATCAAGCAAGTACGTACGTTTAAGTACCTAGGAAGTGTTTAACAGAGGAAAAAAAATGCGACATCGAAATCCGACGGTGCATTGGATCAGAGAAAGATGCCTTCCGAAAGTTAAGCAAAGTATTAAGAAAGAGGAAAATGTTATTAGAAATAAAGAAAAGAGTGAAAAAGTGTTATGTAATATCAACTCCTCGATATAACTGAATGGTGGACAATTTCCTCACAGATGAAAAAGAGACTTTATTTTATAATCAATTCACTTCAAGCAAGAGGATAATGCCACTAAGACGCAAGGGGCTACTGTGAGCGAAAGAGAATGAAAAAATTTAGTAGAAAAGACAATGTAGTACGGGTTTTTGCCGTTACCTTTTGTAAACCACTAACCAATGTGCTACTTTTGAAGAGGACTTACTTCGAAGGTGAAATTGGAAATTAGGCGTTTCTGTAATATTGCTGCTACGTTTGCTCTGGTTCTCCTGTTATATATTTGATAAAATCAAAAGAAGAATCTGCAATGGCATCTCGACTTCAACCAATTTCACACTGTCGTAATGTAGCTTCCCTATGTCTTTTCTATAAATACTTTCATGGTCATTGTTCTGATGAACTTCCCACTATTGTATGCTCATTGGATCCTTTTATTTCTGTCCCTATTTTTCTTTAAGTTTAATTCCCCATCCCCTCCCTTGTTAGGTGGTCAGTGATGTCAGTTCGCTGGTGGATGCGAGGCACCTTTCGTTTCGCGTGAGTGTTTTTTCGTATTTGTTGTTGTGTCTGAATGAGTGCATGTCAGTGTGTGTGCTTGGGATGAATGAATGTTTTATACTATTATAGTCCCGCATTGATTTCGGCTAGTGAACCGATGTTTCTGCCACATTTAGTGATTGAGGGTTTTTTTTTTTTATTACTAATCTGATTTTCTTTAGTTTCTTGTAAATAGTTTTGTATTCATATTGTAAATACTCATTGGGGCTAGTTTTTAGAATTGTTGTTTTATTCCCCTCCCCCCACAGAGAATGAATTGTAAATATGGGGACTAGTTAATATTTTCATAGAGACAATGAGGTATTATGGTGATTGTAGTAAGAAAGGTACGTATGAATGTGTTGTTTTGGTGTAAGGAATATTGTTCGTACGATTGGGTCAGTGTTTGTGGCTAGCTAAGTTATAGTTAAGACAGAAGAAGACCGTCCTTTCCCCAATCTCATTTTTGCCACGTGCCACATTTCTGTATTAAACAGAATAAATATCACTTCACTCTATTGTATGGTAAGCAAGACTATATTGTTTTGGTATAAGGAATACTGTGGTATGTTTCCCTCGGTAATCGTGGCTAGATAAGTTTAAGATAAGGCAGATTAAAAACAAGTCTATCCTCACTTACTGCCACACTTTTGTATTTTTCTAAATTAATATTACTTCCCTCTGAGGTACCTAAACTCTATGAATTTAAGCGCAGTACTAGATTGGCGACAAAGTCTCATCATGTTACTGTTGAAATGAATAGATGTAACCGTAAGTCCTATGCTAATAGTTTCTTCTCTCGTACTTCTCGCTTGTGGAACTCTCTTCTGGCCTCTTACTTTCCAATCAAAATTAATCATCAAAAATTTAAATACAATGTCAATCTTTATCTTCTGTTTTCTTAATTCCCGTTCTTTTATTGTTCTATTTTCTTAATAATGTTTTACTTTTTTTTAATATATTCCTTCGCATTCAGTAACCTCCTGCGTCTTAGTGAGTTTGTTACCTTAATTGGGGGTGAAATGATTAAAAAAATAATCATTGTTATTATTATGGCCAAACTTTTCGAACTTTTGGATCATATTATGACAAAAATACGTTGGATTTAATGGATAGCGGCTCGGACTGAGGAATCAGAGAGCCGAGTTCGAATTCCAGTCGGATCCATTACATCCACTTACGCACTAATACCCTTGGGAAAGGTATGTATCCTCTTCTTTTCCACCTAGCTATGGGTAAATAGCAAAACAGACTGGGTTCTATAGCCTTGGGTAGCAACCGGTCTAGGAGAAGGAAAAACTCTGAAATCAAAACCGTCCTGGAGAAGGTTGTGCTCCGTCAGGCTATCTTGCCCAAGAAATACCATTTCTACTTCTATTGCACATGTGGTGCATCTGCGACCATACGGGTCACGGGATAAAAAAAAGGCTAAAAGGTAATCTTTTAGTTACAACGGAATAGTTGTTAAAATTGATTTTTTTTTATTGTTAGTTCACTGAGTATAATACCCAAGGGCCACTCAAAGTAGAGGGTCACTGAGTGAGACTTTAAAGAAGGGGGAAGTAAGAGAGTTTTATGCGGACGATATCGGTTGGGCCTGGATTTAAAGAGACCTAGATTATAGTTATCAAGGAAGCATTCTCCTGGGAGTTTTTTCCACAAAGTAATAGTTCTCGGGAAGAAGTTGTCTGGGTGGATTTTTTTTTTTATTACCAAAAATAATACAAAGGGAATGGGGATAGTTTACCACCGTGAACATGGCAAGACGGGTCTTAGTTGTGAAGGTCTGAGCTGATGGAAAGCTGGTGGGAAGATGGAAATTACTGCTAGGTGTTTTGGTGTAAGTGATAATTATTTTTTATGTTCAAATTTTTCCTAATTTCTGGCTTGCATCATGTCGAAAAGAGACCTTTTTTTAGTTATAAAAAAAAAAGAAAAAAAATAGTAGTTAAAAATTGAAATTACTACCAAGTAAACTATTATTATCTTTTTATGGACAAATTTCCTGAACTTTTGGGTCGCTTCCTATCTAAAGGTGAGCTTTTAATTATTATATACTCGAGGCCGATAAGGGACACCGCGAGACGGTGTAATGGTTAGCAACCTTTTTTTTTTCTCGCTAGAACAATTACGACTGAGTAGTGAGTTCGATCCTAACTGTAGTGCCCCCTACTTTCGGCATTGCGCCACATCTAAGCTACGCTTGGAAAATCTCTAGTTGTTAAAAACTGAAGCTCCTACCTACGGTAAAGTTTAGTACTTTCTTATTGAGCCGTTTCAGATATGCTATAATGTTTATCGTGTTAAAAGAAAAGAAAGAAAATGTTTTTATTACATTTTAAAATACGTCTTGATCATAAAAACGATCATTACAGTTTGAATGATAGTTCTTGTAAGAGTAATAATCGTAGTTCGGGATGCCGTTTGTTGTGGTAGTAGTAGCAGTATGTTTTGTAATGGAAGTAGTCGTAGTAGCAGTAGTAAGTAGTCGAAGTTGTTAACCCCCATCTTTGACGCTACTACAAATAGAAAGGGAAGACCCCAGCCGGCATTCATTCAATGGAGACTGGCCATGCTGTGTAGCGATACACACACACACACACACTCATACCGCTGTCATGACAATGTTTTTATCTAGAACTTAAATATTAAGGGGTAGTTTCTTCTTTTTTTATTTTTATTATTCATTGTTTGCCAACTTCAGCGATTACGACAACAATCGTGCTTCTTGTTTTTGATGGGGGAGGAGGTCGTTTCTTGCAATCGTCTTTTAGTAATTTCTATTTTTAAACTACATATTCTTTTGTTGTTACTAGCTATCTATCGTTTCTATTGTTTTGTCTTTTTTTTTGTTTTTTTCGTGAAACAAGTTTACGTTGGGGTTTTAATAAGGAAAAAATGTGAATTGTAGAGAATTTCTTTTCTTATTTTATTTTAAAGGATAAATAAAAATAAATAAATAAACGCTTTCTGAAGACTCCTAAGTGTTATTTGTCCAACTTTAGTACATAGTTTTGTTTGAATTTGCTTTCTCGGGGTCTGTGTGATAAGAGAATACATCATTCTCTTGACTTAACACCCCGCCACCACACCCGAGCATTCTCATACACTATTCGTTCCTATTCGAGTAAAAAAGTAATTTTCATTCATAAATTAATTCACTCATTCATTCATATCCTTTTTCTTTCTTCTTTTTATTTTATTTTTTTCTCTCTTCGTTTCTTCCGTTCTGAGCAATTTGGTTTCTTTTTAATTATTATTGCCGAATCTTTGTTTTGGACAATAAACGAAGTCCATTAATTGGACATTTAGCGACAAAAGAAAAAAAAAAGTTTTATTTTATTTATTTATTTATTTATTTACAATTTATCTTCAGTTTTCCAAAATTTAATTCATCACATTCTTTCAGGATTACGAGAAAACACTTAGCTTATAATTTTCTTTCTTTCTTTCTTTCTTTCTTTCTTTCTTTCTTTTTGTTCAGCCATTCTTAACAAATTTCTGTTCTTGTAGAATTCCTCATTTTCTTATACGTCTCAATGCACACAAAAGAAGCAAAAAATTATTACATCCCTTCCCCCACTAATTTTCTTTCTTTTCACTCTCTCTCTCTCTCCCTCTCTCTCTCTCTTTCTCTCGTGAAGACGTATATAGATCAGTGACGTTCAGACGTGCATATTTTTTCGGTTAGTAAAAAAAAAAAGCACACCTTATATTGTTTTCTTCTAACCACAAGAATCTTTCACCTTTTCCTGGTAATCTCTTTTGTTTTTAGTCTCTGTCCTTCTTATCTTTATTTTCGTCTTTCACTTCATGAGTTCCACACTTCGTACTTTGTTATTGTTTGCCCCAAATCAGTGGTACTTCCCAACAAATAAGAACACATGGCATTGCGGTTGTTTCGATAAGCTACTACAACTGTCTGAGTCTGTTATCTATCTATCTATCTATCTATCTATCTATCTATCTATCTATCTATCTATCTATCTATCTATCTCAGTCGTTTTCTTTCTTTCTTTCTTTACATTATCTATCTGCCTCAGTCTCTTTGTTTCTTTCTTTCTTATACCTTATCTATCTATCTATCTATCTATCTATCTATCTATCTATCTCAGTCTGCTCATCTATCTATCTATCTATCTATCTATCTATCTATCTCATTTCTATCTTCTATCTTTCTTTTTCTTTTCTTTCTTTCTTTACATTTTATCTATCTGCCTCAGTCTCTTTGTTTCTTTCTTTCTTATACCTTTATCTATCTATCTATCTATCTATCTATCTATCTATCTATCTATCTATCTAAGTCTTTTCTTTTCTTTCTTTACATTATCTATCTTCCTTAGTCTCTTTGTTTGTTTGTTTCTTTCTTTCTTATACCTTATCTATCTATCTATCTATCTATCTATCTATCTATCTATCTATCTATCTATCTATCTCAGTCTGCTCATTATCTATCTATCTATCTATCTATCTATCTATCTATCTATCTATCTATCTATCTATCTCAGTCGTTTTCTTTCTTTCTTTACATTATCTATCTGCCTCAGTCTCTTTGTTTCTTTCTTTCTTTCTTATACCTTATCTATCTATCTATCTATCTATCTATCTATCTATCTATCTATCTATCTATCTATCTTTCTTTCTTTCCTTCTTTCTTTCTTTCTTTCTTTCTTTCTTTCTTAGACACTATATTATCTGCTTCAGTCTCTTTGTTTGTTTGTTTCTTTCTTTCTTTCTTATACCCTATCTATCTATCTATCTATCTATCTATCTATCTATCTATCTTTCTTTCTTTCTTAAACACTATATTAGCTGCTTCAGTCTCTGTTTGTTTGTTTGTTTCTTTCTTTCTTTCTTTTTTCTTATACATTACATTATCTATCTATCTATCTATCTATCTATCTATCTATCTATCTATCTATCTATCTATCTATCTCCATACATTGTAAATTGATTATATTTTTAAGTGCATATACTCCGATCGTTAGATAAAGGGCTTCATACTGCGGACAAATGGTTATTATTAGTAAGCCAGCTTTTTTTTTAATTATTTACTGCTATAGTGAGTACAACAATCTTCGTCTGGTGTCCAAATATTGTGACCTTGTACCATATTAAGCTAAGTTAACTGAGGAATAGTAACATACACACCCACACAGATTCTCCAACTCTTGTCAAAATATTTTTTCTCGAGAGATATAAATTTTTAGTTATCTAAGTTCGATAATATTCCATGTCTCAGTTTTAATCCATTTTAGATTTTCCCTGCCATAAAATCAGATGTACTAACTAGTCGAAGTGCCAACATCACTCCTTCACCCGGCCCACACTCACAAATGATCACACACCCCACAAACACATCCAACACAGCGATTATATCACTCAAGACAATGCTAGGCAATACGTAACATTTTGTTTACATTTATTTTACTTTTTGAACAAACTTATTTTGACATCTCTTTTTTGATTTGAATATTTTTTTTATTGTGGAACTGTTTTCGAAAACTATATTTCTAGAGTGAATTTAAGACGTGTAAGACTAGAGAACAGGTGTTTCTGTATTCAACATATTACCTTGTTTGAAAGTGAAAATCTCTCTCTCCCTATATATATATATATATATATATATATATATATATATATATATATATATATATATATATATATTAATTCCCTTTATAGTAACAGTTCCAGTTATCGTACACGTTTTTCCTCTGATTAGCTTTTTGCATTTGTCTTCCGTCGTCTATATTTCTTTCTCTACAACGACTCACAAACAACATAGTCTTAGGCAGTTATTATACACGTGTTTGTCCCATGATTGCAATTTTTAATGTAATATATTACACACGTTTATATGCTTTCCTACGAAAAGCATTCATATGCAAATCTCGATAAACTCTGACCTTAATTGATTCATCTTTAAAAGTTAAGGCCATCAACTCCAACAGAGAGGAAAGGGTTCTCCAGCTTTTGTACTAATGAGCAAGCTTGTCTCGTTGTCAATGTCTACTGCAGTGAATATGATATACACCTGATCCCATACACCTGTTGCCTTGTGTCATACTGATCTGAGTTCATTCAATCCGATATTGGGGAAGTTAGGGGGTTCCAAATCGAGAATTAGTAATCTTGAAAAAGTTAGTTTTGTGGTCAATTAGGATATTGGGCCTTGTCTTTTACACCTGTGGCCTCGTGCACTACGAGCTAATTGAAAAAAAAAGCATATACATGCACAAAGATATTTGAACACTTTTTCGCAATTTATTTTCCCAAAGAGGCTTAAGGCGATAGATAGATAGATAGATAGATAGATAGATAGATAGATAGATAGATAGACGGACAGACAGACAGTTAAGATAGATAGACAGACAGTTAAGATAGATAGAGAATAGATAGATAGATAGATAGATGGACAGACAGTTAAGATAGATAGATAGATAGATAGATAGATAGATAGATAGATAGATAGATAGACAGACAGTTAAGACAGATAGATAGATAGATAGATAGATAGATAGATAGATAGATAGATAGATAGATAGATAGATAGATAGATAGATAGATAGATAGATAGATAGAATTTTCACGTAAAATAACTAAAAAGAGAAGGGAAAACGTTATAGTTCTGTCCTCTTATTTGCCTTCTCTTTTACTCTCTTTCTTCAAAAATATTTATAAACTTATATACTTTATTTTATATATTTATCAACAAATATTCTGTTCTTTAATTAGATATACAGACGATGGGTTCACGAGCGCGCGGACATGTCAACGCACCCTTGAAGCATTGCAGACTCGCGACGTATGTACACACACACACACGCAGACACGCTTTTGAATTTTACAACTAGACTTGGGCTGAATGGACAGTTGCGTGACCAGATCTGCAAACGGAACACGAATACACATCCGTATGTTTATATCCCACACACAGACACACACACACACACACACACACACAAGATTTACTCAGGCAGTTGTAAATATAAGTGATTTTCTTCCTCTATTTTTTTCACTTTTCATTTCACTGTCATCTTTTTTGACGCTCTTTTTCTCTCTCTATCTCCGTCAGAGAAGACGAAATTTATTCATAATCTGACACACACACAGCACTTAATAAAGTGGGTGTACGAGTGCCCGCTCTTTCTCGTGTATGAAACACAAACGCTTATTTGTAAAAAGCAAGCCGTCGAAGCGATAGTCGTTATAGAAAAAAAATAAAATAAAATAAAGTAGACAGCGCTTGCTACAAGCTAGAACTCCGGGAGACCACTGTTTCACTATGAGGGCCTGTTGTGACAAACCATTCGCTTCTCCATCACCGACGTACGGACTTTCGACGCTCATTTTTACGGCAACCCGCGTTATCCTTTTGACGCTTTTCACATCGATTGGTCAGCCGGCCGGTGTTTTAACGGCACAGTCGCCGGCCACAAGTTTCCAGACTCAGTCCCCATCGGGCAACTTCTATCCGTTGACCGTGTTACACACGAACGACGTGCATGCTCGCATCGAACAAATAAACAAATACAGCGCTTTGTGCAAACCGGAGGACGAAGCCAAACAGCAGTGCTTCGGGGGTATCGCTCGCATAAAGAGTAAAGTGGACGAAATACGGGCTCGTGAATCAAATGTCTTGTTCCTCGATGCAGGGGACCAGTACCAAGGAACATTATGGTTCTACACATTTGAAGGGAATATTACTGCCCATTTCATGAATGAACTGAAATACGACGCGATGGTAAGTAAAATAATTTATTAAAAAAACTTATTTTAATGAAATCCAGCATGGGTCAAAACTCCTTTGACGTAAACTTAAAAATAAATAAAGTTAAAATAAACTGTGAATCGATTTAACTAGAAAAATACATTTTTATATGCATGTGTTACAGTCCTACAGTTTTTTAATAGTAAAAAATTAAGAACATTTCGTTTTTTTTAAAATTATTTTTGCCTCAAATTCTCCATCGGTTTGTTGCATTGGTCACAGCATTTTCGGTTGAATGCCTTTTGACAGCACAGGTGTTAGCTTACGGTGATGAAAACAAAAATATGATAAAAAACTAGTGAAAAATAAAATGATGAAAATACTTCATCAAAAATTTGACATTATAATTTTATTAATATTTCTTAAATTAATTTAAAAGATTTTTTTAAATTTTTAAAAATTTTTTTGAATTTTTTAAAAATTAATTTTTTTAATTTTTTAAAAAATTAATTTAAAAAAAATTTTTTAATTTTTTAAAAATTAAGTTTTTAAATTTTTTTAAATGAATTGTTTTACATTTTTAAGAATTTATTTTTTATTTTTTATATTTTTTAAAAGTAATTTTTTTAACTTTTTAAGAATTAATCTTTTTTTAATTTGTTTAAAAATTAATTTTTAAAATTAATTTATTTTAATGCTTTAAAAAAATAAATTAAATTTTTTTTAAAAAAGTAATTCAAAAATTAAAAAATAAACTAAAAACTGCAAATAACATATGTGAAAATCGTGCGTCTCACAATGGGTTCGAATTCAAATTTTGTCAAAAAACTATTTATAAATAGACGGATGTTAGTCAACCTGGAACGTTGTGATAAAAAAATAATATAAGAAAATTAACATTTGTAATAATTAATTTTTTAAACAAGGATGTGACTTCTTACCTGTTTTCAAGTTTCATGAATCTACAGTTTTTTTCTTTAGCCAATGTATAATTTTTATCACAATGTCAAAAGTAGTTTTTTAACTTTTGCTAAACACCCAGAATCAAGAATAATAATGCAGTCAATGAAGCCCAAACTCAAATTTGCTTTCTTTCATCATTTTACCGCTTCTCGTCGTTTTTAAAAAATTATATTTCTTAAATGTATTTCTTTATTGTTTAAAGAGGCGGGTTCACTGTTTACATATTTGTTTTAAATGTCCACAGTTATATTTGAGGGCTGAAGAACATATAGATGAAGAAAATTGGGATATAAAAAGAAAAAAGATGCTAATAAATGTGAAAGAAAGAAATCCTGTTTTTAATGAATCTATTTTTTTCATTTATTCTTCTTTTGAACGTAAATTCTACGTTATTTTTCCAGGAGACTTGAATACAATTTTCATAGAATTTATAGTTTATATTTGCTCCTTACATTTTGAGTAAATGGTTTTCGAATCGAATTTTTCATAACTATTTTCGCCTTATATTTTAAATGAACTCTTCTGTTTTGAATTTTTTATAATTATTTTTCCTTTAAATTTTGAAGTTACTTTACGCTTTGACTTAAAAAATCTATTTTCGCTTTAAATTTTGAAGAGCTACTTTACGCTTTGACTTGAAAAATCTACTTTCACTTTAAATTTTGAAGAATCTACAGTTTTTTTCTTTAGCCAATGTATACGCTTTGACTTAAAAACAAACTATTTTCGCCTTAAATTTTGAATAATTTTTCGTCTGAAATTTTTTATAATTACTTTTCCTTTAAATTTTGAATAGTTGTTTTCGCTTTGAAATTTTTTAATAAATACTTTTGCCTTAAATTTTGAATAGCTGCTTACGTTTTGACTTAAAAAATATTTTCGCCTTACATTTAGAATATCTGTTTACTTTTTAAAAACTATTTTGGCCTTAGATTTTAAATGGCTGTTTACGCATTAGAATTTTAAAACTATTTTCGCTTTAAATTTTTAATAGCTGTTTACGTTTAGAAGTTTAATAGCTAAAAACACCCAAACGCTAACATTAATTTTTCACTTTAACTTTTTACTTTTTTTCTTAATTTTTGAAACCATTACCAGAGGCTGCTCTCCGGCACTATAAATACTCTGCGATAATTTTTTTTTATCACTGTCTTTTGATCTTATCCGTCAATATGTAAGTCTCTCACGGAAAAACGCGTTCCCTTTTTGGGAAACGCATCAACAATACGTACGTACGCACATTCACTCACTGCCCATATTTTGGACCAAAACTGTTTCTACATTGATTTGTTACACACATTAATATCTTTGTCATCTTTATCTTTTTTTTGTTAATACATTATCATTTGTTTGTACATATATATCAGTTCTTTACATTTCTTTACGTGGAATCACATCCCGAGTCTGCCATGTTTGTTGTGGCCATTTCAGGAGACACGTGTTTAACTCTGCAATTCGTACACCAGCCGGTACACAACATTTTTTTTTTCGCTTTGTACTTTATTTTCGCATTATGAACAACTGTTTACGATTTGAATTCTTAGCATCTATTTCAAAAAACAAAAAAGCTATAAAATAAATGTTGACTTCTTTTATGTGTCATATCCCTTAAGAATGATAATGGCTCTCCACAATTCTGTATCCTTGCAATGTCGTGTGAGGTTAATATTCTCCATCATCTCTACCCTCATTAATTTAACAGTTTCTTTCTGATTCAGTATTTTTTTCTGATTTGTTGCCTTTATTTTAGCATTTTCGGTTGAATGCCTTTTGATGACACTGGTGTTAGCTTACGGAGACTATTCAACTAGTAACGTTGTGATGAAAAGCAAAAATATAATAAATAGACTAGTCAAAAATAAAATAACGAAAATTCTTCATTAAAAATTGTACATTAAATTTTTTAAAAGTTTTTTTAAAATTAATTTCTAAAACTTTTTTTAAAATTATTTTTTATTTCTTTAAGAAATTAATTTTTCTAATTGTGAAAAAAAAAATTTTTTTTAAATCTTTTGAAAATTAAGTTTTTAAAATTTTTTAAATTTATTTTTTAATTTTTTTTATTTTTTAAATTATTCTTTTATTTTTAAAAAATTAGTTTTAATTTTTTTAAATTAATTATTTTTACATTTTTTGAAATTAATTTTTTAAAACTTTTTAAGAATTATTTTTTTTTAATTTCTTTAAAAATGAATTTTTTTTAAAAAATCAATTAATTCTAATCATTAAAAAATAATAATAAAAAAAATGGCTGTTTCTTTTTCAATCTCCTTAAACCTTCCTCGTTGCTCACATGTTTCAACTATGGTATTCTCAGCACATTTGTAAATTCATATTTCTGTTACCCCAAGTCTCCTTTTCATAAGTGAGTAAAATTTTCCAGCATTCACTGTCATTTCGAATGTTGACTCAATAAACATATATACTGTTTATATCGACACCACATTCGAAGCAGGTTTCAAATAGAATATATGTGCTTTAACCAGTCATGTAAATATTTTCAGTATTCATTGATTCTGTTTGCATTACTTGCAGCCAGACTAAGGTCCCCATCTTCATTGTTAGTATCACAGTGTTTCGGCCATTATGCCCTCTATCCTTCTTCAGGTGTTTGTCGATTCAGATATCATTCAAGGATTTACGAACCGAACCCGTTTTTTTTTCTTTGCGAATAAACAGTTCTCATTTTGCTATCCATGTTTAGGGGTATCTTTTCACGGTATATTTTCTTTTTTATTTATGTTTTTTTTAACGGTAAGCTTTACACTGTACAAGGTCCCGGTGCCACTCGAGGTAAAGGGTTACGTTAAGAGGTAGTTTATACGGATAGGAAGGGAAGATAAGAAGGTTTGGACTGGTAGTAATCGGGGAAACATCCTGCTGGAAGTCGGTTTCACAGGGCAGTGTTTCACAGGAAGAAGCTGTTCGAGTGGAACTAACTTCTCACCGATGGAATACGGCGGGAATGTCGCTGGTTTGCTACAAGATAAGAGGCATGGAGGGTCCTAGTCGTGAAAGTTAGACCTGGTGGAACCAAGGAATGTAGTTCGTCCGAGCATTTCTCATGGTAGTAGCGATAGAGCATTGTAGAGTCTTACCCCATCCCGCCTGCGAGACAGATGTTGGAAGGTGGAAAATAATTCTTCGCTAACAAGGACTCGTAGACGTTTTTGAAAGACGGGAAAGTGAGGACTGGTCATCTCTCGCCCAAGTATGATATAGTGTTGAAGACTAAATATTAAGGATAAAATAAAAATATATTTTAAAATGTGCGGCACTCGAGGGTGTGTAGTCCCCGAGGGTGTGTAGGACCAAAACTACAGCTTATTTAGCTTATGGGTAAGTCCAGCATTGATATTATTTATTAAATCGTTTTCCACGATTTATCAACCTTTAGCGGATTATTTAATGCCAGAAAACATATTTATATTGTAAAAATTTTTTGAGATAATAATGGTTTTGATGAAGCAAATTTTACTAATTAACCCATAGCTGTGGAAGAAAAGGCGGGTTCATACCTTTCCTGAAGGTATTTGCGGTGTGAGTGAATCTAGCAAACCCAACGGGGATTGGAACTCGGCTCTCCGATTAACAATTCCGAACCATTGTTCATTACACCACCCGCACATTCAACCTTATAGCACCTGGTATTCCAAAGCGGTCACCCATCTAGGTACTGACCAGTCTCGACGTTGCTTAATTTCTGTGATCGTATGGGAAGTCGACTCTCCGTTTAACAATTCCGAACCATTATTCATTACACCACCCGCACATCCAAGCTTACAGCACCTGGTATTCCAAAGCGGTCATCCATCTAGGTACTGACCGGTCTCGACGTTGCTTAACTTCGCTGATCGTACGGGAAACAGTGTTTCAACGTGATGTGGTCGTAAGCCAACACTGATTTTAGTACTGGTCAGTTATTGTTAAGAGTTCAAGGATAAGCAATGTTACAGGTGAGCGACAAGAAATGTCGTTCATGTTAGAAATTGCGTTTAAATTCTCGCCTTAAATTATAAATAAGACTTTTCGTTTTTAATTTTCTTATAAATATTTTCGCCTAAAATTTTTATAATTTTTTTGCTTTGGATTAAACAATGCATTAACCCCGTAGGAAAATAGCTTCCTGATGGATTAGAACGTTGCATAGTAATTTTGATAGCATAGCAACTAAGAGTTCAATCCTTGAGCCGGGAAATATCGACCTACTCAGACTCATTGTAAACAGGACAAGCAATATCTGATAAATAATCTAATATAGTGCCATGCGTGATAAATGCTTAGGCGATCATGTATCTTTCGATACATGACTGACGAGGCAGATTTTTTCCCGCAGTAGATTGCCATTTCTTTCTGCGGTAGACTATTTGCCATTCAAGTCTATAGAACCCGGTCTGTCCTGCTATTTACTCATAGCTGGACGGAGAAGAATAGGATTCATACCTTTCCAAAGGGTATTAGCACATAAGTCAATTATATGCCATGCGTGATACAAGCTTAGGCGATCATGTATCTTTCGATTCATGACTGACGAAAAAGATTTTTTTCCCGCAATACGTTGCCATTTCTTTCTGCGTTAGACCAGTTGCCATCAAAGGCCATAGAACCCAGTCTGTCTTGCTATTTACCCATAGCTGGAGGGAGAAGAAGAGGATTCATACCTTTCGCAAGGGTATTAGCACGTAAGTCAATGTAATGGATTTGGCTGGAATTCGAACTTGGCTCTCCGATTCCTCAATTCGTGCTGCTATCCAGTACTCCACCGTAATATCTAACCGAGACAAAATATCCCTAACGAAGGAATAACAATCTATCATCGTAGAATAAAGAGTTCAGTCTGAAATTTTTACTAAGTCTACCTGGGTTGACGGATAGCGCGATTTCTAAAAAGTTGCAATGACAACAACAAAAATAAGCATATTAGTTAAATGTCACGTCACAAGTCTTGGTAGCTAGATTTTATGAAGTTAAGCGCAGTGCTAGACAGGCATCTAGGAAAGATCCTTTTACTGTTAAAATTACTACATGTAGCCGTAAGTTCTATGCAAGTTTGGTCTTCAAAAATGTAAAAGCAATATCAACCCTTATCTTCTATCCTCTTAAATTCTGTTCTTTTATTCTTCTCGTTCCTTTAATAGAGTTTTTCTTATATTCTTTCACACTCATTAACCTCCCCCTGCTTGTTAGTGACTCTGATACCTTGCTTGGGGTGAAGTGATTAAAGAAGAAAATTCTACTTCAGTTTGTTTGAAAGGATTCGAAACCTATCCTCTAATTCCACCGTGCTACTCGGACAGCTTTCACCAAGTACCTCCATTTTACAGAACCCCCTGTGCGTGCTTCCCTAAACATTACTACTGCAGGTAAGGCACGGTAGTAACCGCAAGTTCTACGCGAACAGTTTCTTCTCTGGCACTTCACGCTTGTGGAACTCTCTTCCGTTTTTTTTTTTTTTTGCCTCCGTGCCAAATTTAATCTTCAAAAACTGAAATGCAATGTCAATCGTTATCTTGTGTCTTCTTAATTTCTGTTGTTTTATTGTTTTCTCCTCTTAATGTTCTTTTTTTTTCTCATATTCTCTAACACTCAGGAAGCCCTTTGCGTTTTAGTGGCTTTATTTCCTTGTTTGCGGTGAAATGATTAATAAAAATCTCATTGGGACACCGCTTGTACTATAGTTGTAACTGCAGTGATTTGTCTAGGTGAAGCCTGACGAATCCGGTTTTGAATTCAGTTTTCTTCTCTTAGACTGGTTTCCAACCAAGGCGTTTATTTTTATGATCTAAATCACAAAATCATCTCTGTAGTTAAAAAGTTATTCGAAAAATGCGGGATAGTTTTTTTTTTTTGGTTTTTTGTTTTTTTTCTGTGTGCGTGTTTTGTTTGTCTGTGCGTGTGCGTCTGCCTCCATGTGTGTGTCTGGAGTAGTCATGTAATTTTCTCGTCATGTCATTTTTCCTTTTATTATTTTGGGGCGACATTTTTTTGTCTTTCTTTCTTTTTCTTTCTTTTTTTTTTTTTTTTTTTTACCAAGTCCCATTTGTTCCTATTCTTTTCTTTTCTTTTACTCACATAAGCTTACTTTACTTTCCAAGGCAAAAATCCCGGCTTTAAGTGGCCACGGATCAGTAAATAAAATGTCCAGTTCTAGAACAACCATTCTTTTGCACTCTACCACTCCATTAAATTTGGAGTAGAATCATGTTTAGCCCCTGATCAGTACAAAGCAGAAGGGTGGGGAGAGAGAGTGCGACGGCCCCGGATATCTATATCAGGAGGACATCCAATCAATGAGTGAAATAAAAATTGAGTTTATATTTAATTTGAATAAAGTCTTTGTTTCATGCTTGATCTGTTTTTACATATTTAAAATGTCTTCCTTTCGCACAATTCTCAGTATTAGGCTCTATAGGTCCTCCTGACTTTAGTCTTAGGGGCATCCAATCAAAGAATTGGTCTCAGGCATCACCAAACATTACCAAACCTGCACGTCACTGTCCCTGATGCTTTTATCATATCAAAAGCAAAGGCGATGGAACTAAACTATTATTGATCCTTCACCGTGTGGTGGGGTGCGTAGGTAGCCAACACTAAAACAGCTATCTTCATGGAAACAAGCAAAAATACTACCTACCGGTAAGTGGCTAACAAATGCTTTCACAGTGACACCCCGGCTTAAGCCGTTTCGAGTTTCGAAGATACGTCGGTTTTTCTTAAATATTATATGGAAAAATGAAACTCGCCTTAGGTCGTTTTACTCGAGTTTACGTTGGCCGTTAAAAATATTAGAGACGTCAAGAGACTAAAATAACAATGAACACATATAAAATCTTATTTAAATACATTTAAAAAATAATATATATATATATATATATATATATATATATATATATATATATATATCAGAAAATTAGCAAAAACTAGTATAATAAAATATGTTCAGCAGATGTTCTTATTTCAAATTTCTGCTGACAGGCGGTACTCGTGCGTTGTTTTCCGCTCCAGCAGCGATTTTGAATTCAGACTTGTTTATATCTGTGCTCTGCCGTTGACATTCTTTCAGTTACATTTCAATTGCGATTTAGAATACATTTTTGCCCATGGTTCCGAGGAAGAGTCCCAGTGCAAGTGCTAGTGCTAAGCGTAAGTCTATATCTCTGGAAAATAATGTCGAAATTAATTGTTTTATTCAGAATACTGTACATATATATCATAAAAGGCGACGGGGAGTGCTTATTTGTGGTTTATAGTGTGGTTATATCGACTAAAGTCGTTTTTCGACCTAAATCGCGACCTCTGGAACCAATTAACGACGTATGGTGGGGTATACTCGTACTTGATGTAGTTAGTTATTTAGTAACGTTTAATATGGCACAGAGATATCTATCTGAGAAAAAGAAAGCAACGGCGTAAAAATACGTTAAGTCAATTTCCGAAGTAGGGTGAAAGCTGCTAGCCTTGAAAAAAGTGTTTCGAAGTGCCGGCTTTTACTTGTCCTCGAATACCGCTCTCTTTTCCCCTTTCATTTTTATTTATTTATGTTCAAATAAACGGATTTTATAGGTCACTTTTGAAAGTGAGTTTAAGTTTTGAATTCACTAATTTAGGCTTTAATCCATTTGGGATATTATCGCAGGGGTCAATTGACTAAATCAGTATTTCTCAAACATTTTTATTTCAGGGCGCACTTGTAGAATAAGTAAATCTCTGGGACGCACTTGTAGAATAAGTAAATCTCTGGGACACACTTGTAGAATAAGTAAAACTATGGGACACACTTGTAGAATAAGTAAATATCTGGGACACACTTGTAGAATAAGTAAAACTATGAGACCCACTTGTAGAATAAGTAAATCTCTGGGACACACTTGTAGAATAAGTAAATCTATGGGACACACTTGTAGAATAAGTAAATCTCTGGGACACACTTGTAGAATAAGTAAAACTTTGGGACCCACTTGTAGAATAAGTAAAACTATGGGACACACTTGTAGAATAAGTAAAACTATGGGACACACTTGTAGAATAAGTAAATCTTTGGGACGCACTTGTTGAATAAGTAAATCTTTGGGACGCACTTGTAGAATAAGTAAATATCTGGGACACACTTGTAGAATAAGTAAAACTATGGGACACACTTGTAATCCGAGTCCTTGTAGCTTATTCCAACCTCCTTCTCACAGGCGTGATTTGACGAGCCTCTACATTCCTTGGTTCTGCCAATTTTAACTTTCAAAGCTAGAAGGCGCTATGCCAAACCCATTGTAGAAAACCACCCACATTCCCTCTGTGTTCCACTCGAGCAGCTACTTCCCGTGAAACACTGTTCTGTGGAACCGACACGCAAGAGTACATTTTCCCCCGAACACTACTATCTTAATCTGTTCAAGCCGAGGGTTAATCTTTATCGTCTCTTCTTATCCTTATAAACTATCCCTTAGCAGGGTTACCCTGTACCTTGAGTCGTCCTCGGGCCTTGTACAGGGTGAAACTTACTGTAAAAAAAAATATTTTTAAGACATTGTATTGATTGATGTCTTTAGCTTACTGAAAATAAAAGATTTTCCAAATATAAAATAATTCATAAATTACTCTTCTGTTAACTTGGCGTAGACCTGGCTACTTTTCAAGGCGTATTAGTGCACTCGGACGCACCGGTTGAGAAACGCCTCTTTAGAGGGAGAGATTACGTTTTTCTCCTATAAAATATTATTCAGAAATTAGAATTTTCACTGACATTTATACGTTTATCTAAAATAAAAAAATAACAAAACAAAAACAAAAAAATTATTATGATAGAGATTCATATATAGGCAAACAAAAACCTTCCTGGCCGCATTAAGACAGAGTGTGAAAAGGATGGGTTTTTTTTCCCCCTAGACGCCGATATTAT